AAAGTTGACACTTAAATGAAAAATAACTCCAAGTCTCCTGAGCCATATGTGCAATAACATTTTCCTCAGGAGTTGCATCATCTTTATACTCTTTCAAATTTGAGTTACAAATGCAAGATACCTTCCGACCAGCACCTGCTTGCATATTCATTTCTTATTGTTTACACAATCTTCTGTTGATTTTATTGTCATTTTCCATCTTCTTCTTCATGTAGTTGTTAAAAGAAACAGCCCAATAGTGAGTGTTTCCAGGCACATGTGCAGACACTTACATTTGTGAGGCTGGTTGCTATTTTTGCCGGACACGTGTAATAATAATAATAATCATTTCTCTTTTTGAGTTATAGAAGAAATCTAAACATTGTCTGCAAAAGTCTGGGGCCTTATGATTATCACAATGCAGAAAAAGCAGACAGAATTGCGAAACCCAGTCATAAAAAAGGAATTTGCCAAATTTCACAGGGGACTAATTGTCATGTTTGCTGAACTTTTAATAAATTGTTGTTAAATATCCAATATAGCAATCAGATTATGTTGGTGGTTATTTTTGTCAGGAAAAAAAAAAATAGAATAATGGTTACTTATACTTACTGTATACTTACTGTATATATTTTAACTCTTAATTTTTTATTATTAAATATTACATTTTATACATGTTTTAATGTATTCATATTTTCTTACTCCTCATTACAAAACAGATTACCAAATATTTTTTTGGGCTAGATCCCAACAGTTATTTTTATCAGACAAATACTCAATACTTCTTATATAAAGGCCAGGTTTCACTTGGTTCAATTCAGGCATTTAAGTGGCTTTTATAAACGTGCCTTAGAAAAATAATTACTGGTGTGCAATAATAAAACAATAGCAGTGACATATTTTAAGATTGGTCAGTGTAAGTTGCTTTCAGTTAAAACAGCTCAAACATGCATTTTATTCTGGCACTAGCTTAAGCCAACTGTCTGTGAAACCAGGGGTAAATGTATTAAATTAATATTATTTCATTTTAAATTATATCAAATATTTATTTTTTAAATATGCATTTTATTTTATTTTGTTTTATTTTATTTTAATATTCATTATAACAGTATACCAAACAGATTTCATTAGTTGTATAAGTTGTACAAGTTTCATTCAATTAATTAGACATACATTTTGATTACTAAAATCAGTCAAACGGAATCCAGAAAAAAATAAAATGGGGAAAAAATGGATTCCAGAACATTTTAAACGAAAAAAATTATAATAATAATAAATTGGGAAAAAAATTTCATATGGCCCTAAAAGTCAGAGAACTCAAACATTTATATTTAATCAAATTCTTCCAAGTTAGTCTACACTAAATGATCTGTGTTATGCGGTGCACATAATTTGATTGCCTCAGTTGTCTATTTTTATTTCTAATATATAAACCTGAGATAAAGGTGATACTTGTATGACAAATAACTAAGGGTGTATTCACACCTGCCTTGTTTGGTTCGATTGAATCGAACTCTAGTTCGTTTCCCCCTTTGGTGCGGACCTTTTGGGCAGGTGTGAATACAGCAATCGAACTCGGGTGCGGACCAAACAACCGAACCGAGACCCAGCTGAAGAGGTGGTCTCGGTACGGTTCCAAACGAACTCTGGTACGGTTCGTTTACGGTGTGAACATGAACCGACCCAATTGCAAGAAAGCACCGCGCCTTTGAGTTAACAGGCTTCCGTAGTCGGAGATTTTGGCATAATGGTTTGTGTTATTGTTGTTCAAGTGCGAAAGAGAATTCCATTCCGGCGCGCTGTCTGGCCACACAATACTGTTGCGCGTCTTTCTGCGCGTCGTGTGTGTGTGCATCATTGGAATGGAATGAATGAATGAGTGTGTGCATCAGGACATTCACATACAGAGCGTTCTCTTTAGTCTAATCGCGCATAGATGCAAAAAAAGCTTTTGCAGTTCATATAATGTAACGATAGTTACAATACAAGGATGATGCTGCGTTAAACTGGACAAACTTCATCGCAAGCGTTAACATTGACAGCACTTGTTAGCAGTATATTCAATAAGAATCTCATTATTTGAATGTGTGAACATAGCCCCTCTCTATGAATGAAAACTTTATACCTTATCCGTCTTCTGTGCAGTTTCTTCATATTGCGTTTGTACAGAATAACACAAAATTAGTAAAATAACAAATATTGCAGTACGAAATATCTCCATGCTGAGCCTTTTTTGCACTTCCTGATTTCCCTACTTGAGAATCCTTGTCCAATGAATGGACGACCTTAGCACACGTGTGGTTTTGTTTACAAATTTTGGTTCACTTGCAAAAAGAGCAGTGTGAAAGCGAACCGTACCAAAAAAAAAAAAAGAAAAAAAATTTGGTCCGGACCAAAGCAAGTGAACTATCGGACTTTCCTGGTGTGAATACACCCTAAGTCTTCTCAGTTGGAAGAGTAAGCTCTGAGCAATAACATTCCCCTCTGGGAACCAGCAAGACAGAAAGAAACTAGTTCCATCAAAAAGTTGTACAGTACGTGTAAACAGCATGGTCTTCCTGGTAAAAAAAAATCGGTCCTTTCTGGTTCCCAGAGAAAATTTGTATTGTTCGGAGGTTGATCTTGCAGCACTAACCCACACAGACCAACCTGGACCAGCATATAAATGCATGGCGGTGTAAGCTGCATGTACCAGCGGGGCTCTCTGCCCCCTCTCAGGAGCCCTTTATTGTTTCTCAGCCTCCTCAAAGCCAATTGTAGGCCATGGGCTGTGGTCTGCACAACCTCCACACACGCTAATTCTCTAGCAACCTGCCTACACACTCTCCAAACATCAGAGTGTTGTGTTCAAGGACAAAATCACGGTGTTCTTTTTAAAGGGAAAAAAAACATCACATTTTAGATGAACGGTCAGCTGCTTGTAATACATCAGTGCTGAACATTTCGATATCTGCTTTTGCCTGACAGTGGATGTAACATGAACTCCAAACCAGAAGATCCCGCGGCTTGACCGGAGACCAAACAGATCCTCTGCAGAGCCTGATGGCAAAGCACCCATTATCACAGATAAAACCAAATAATGCGTAACAATCAATATTTCATGAGCTCGGCTAATGCACCCTCTTCAATGTTCCAGTTACAAATGCAAGGGATTGTTTGTTTGTTGGTATAAAAGTATTCACGTTCGCATCTCTGCCCTTTAGATGCTAAAAACATAACATTTATGTGAGTTGTTTAGGGCTTTGGCATTGCAGTGATTTGTTTCCCTGACAACCACTTAAGGAATGACGATGCCGAGCTTGATTCTGAGCAAATAAAACGTGGCTTTATTTAACATTTGCTGTACTGACATGGTATTGCTTTTTAATCTTCAGTTAAGGCCCTTTCGCATGACTCATGTCAGAGCTTCAACACATCTCACCTGTCATGCTTTGACCTCGACATGAAAAGATTTGGAGATAGTATCACGGCAGGGCTGCTAAGAAAGAAGTATGCACACTGAAAAGTGAACATAAAAGAGTATTTGAGTTTAATATGCAAAAAGTCCTGCAAAATTGCACAGAAAAAATGCAGAAAGAGAAAAAAGGATCATTCAAATACACTTGCGTGTACACTTGATATGACAAACAAACAAAAAAATCAACAATCAGAAGAATTTCTACTATCTAAAATGGCTAAATAATGTTTTTTTCTCCATGTGGCAATGTGAAAAATTCAACCTGGTATGTGAAATATTCAACCCAGGCTCACTGTGCATACAATTCACTGCAGTTTCCAGCTGAAATGAACACAAGTGGCAGTGAAACACCAAAAACTTTGATTCCTTTTTACACAAATTATGATTACAGGGGCAGATCAATTAATGAAGTCTCCCCTGCTGAAAAACCCATGTTGGTCCAGTCCTGGTCAAGCTGGTGGACTAGTCATGCTGTTCTCAAGCAAAACCGAGCTGGTCCACCAGCTCTCCCGCTTCCAATGATGGGGATCAACAAACCAGCATCTCATAAAACATATCTTATGCTGGTGACCAGGATTTTCTAGGAGGGTCATTGCACAGTTCATTACACAATACTATTTTATCACCTCAAAACACTTTTACCATAGTACATGATTTGTAAACTAATACATTTTGATATTTGCATCACATATCCAGCTCCATATGTATGGCTTTTCTGACATAGTAAACTATAGCGCACCTCAGTGTTCAGTTATGAGTCCCATGAAACAAGGTTGAACAAAAGTGCTCAAAGCTGAGCAAAACCAGGTAAAGTGGCATGGTTGCTTCAGCAAATGTATTTTCTAAACACTATCAGTTAGGTTTAGGATAGAGTTTGGTGTAGGTGGTACAGTACGTTGCTTTCAAATGTGACAGTGCATTAACCTTTTAGCGCCACCCACCAGACATTTCATTCCCGGAATGCCACGATACATGCATGAATCAACATAATAAAATAATGGCACAGTCATGTTTATCTGTTTTGGAGAAAATTGAAGCGGCTCTCACTGGACATTTCACTTTGAAACTAGTAGCAACGTAACATCATTGGGTTGGACCTATTCCTTGCAGTAAGCCTAAAAAACATAACATTTTTGGGAAATAATCTCATGTGTCCATCCATTTTAGCCACGGGTGCCATTTCCCAGAGAGAGACTGGTTCATTTTGTATTTCTGCAATTTCCACAATGACAGTGCTGCGATGATTGTCTCAATTTTGAGAGGAAAAACTTGCAAAAGCTAAATTATCTCATTGTCATGAGATTAAAAATAATGCAAAATACTACAACAATTTTAATGCACCCACCATTTGTACACCTTATTGTATCTATGCACAGGATCAGACTTCTTTCTTGCTCATTTTTTACCCCTACATTGCCTATATAATTATTAAAAGTGTCCGTATAGTCTTCAGTGGTGCTTCAAAAGGTCAGGAACCAATGGTTTCAAAGTTGAAATGTTTGAACCTCAAAACGGTTGAAGCCTTTATAAATGCTAAAATATAAAAACTCTACTGATGACTCACCAGAATGCGTCCTGGAAGATCTATGATGCCAAGAAGACGTGACTGCCGAGTAATCACTGAGAAACCTTTACTTTCAACCTCTCTGAAACCTGAAACATAAGGTGATAAACACTGTTAGACAGATTTTCAACCTTATATACCCACCACATTAATATGCAGCTTCTATTGTACATAAAATGTTACATAAACTGAGGCTACAATGTAACTCGGGTGCAAGGTTGAACTCAATGTATCTGTACACGCCTACGGTACTTTAGATTTGCTGCTAAAAACGAACATAGAAAATGAGTCACAAATCAAAAGGAACATCTCCAGCACTTAAACTTGTTCTTTTAGAGCACTTCAGATTGTTTGGATGCATCTTAACAAGATCATTGATATTGATTGAGGTTGAGTAGAGGAAAGGTCAAACCCAGGACCGTGTGGTGAGCAAATCATGAGTAGATACAGCATCTGTGCTCTGCGGGATGTCCCTTCAGCACGTAGTTCTGACTCACACGTCTGTTTGGCTGTAAATGAAACGTGTTTTATCTCTCACTGTTCCTCTATGCAGAGACATATTGTGTCCTCCTACCTACAACAAGAGCCTGTTGAACTGAGGATAGCACATCTCAGAGCTCCAGCTGAGAAAGCGTGATCAGCGTGCAGGCCAGAGACAGTGTGAGGAGGAGGAGATAGACCACTTGTAGAAAAATGAAAGGGGGATTTGCAATGCTTAGTATGGCAACTGAGTGAATGCTGGTCAAGGCTGGTTAGCGCTGAGAAGATATTTTGAAGAACGTTTTTTGTTCATCCAATGAAAGCCAGTGGGGTTCAATGTTGTCTGGTGCTTCGAAATATCTGAATAAAAAAGTCATACAGGTTTGCAATAAAATTATTATGGCTTCCAGTTAACTATTCCTTTAAGCTAGTTAGCAAGTCTGTGATGGACACCACCATTTTAAGGTAGGAAAGAGCATAAAAAATAAAAAACGATCGGTCATTAAAAAAAAAAAAAAAAATGCATGTACTTTTTAACCACAAATGCTCTTCTTGCGCTAGCTCTGCGATGCGAATCCACGACTTCACGCATTACATTGAAAGGTCACGCGTGACGTAGACGGAAGTACCGACCCAGTGTTTACAAAGCGAAGGTGCAAAGACTATGTTAAACACCCGTTACAAAAAAAAAGGTAAAACAATGATGTCGGACAAGTTTGAAGTTGGTGATTACGTAATGCATGAAGTCGTGGACGTGCATCGCAGTGCTAGTGCAGGATGAGAATTTGTGGTCAAAAAGTATGAAAATTATTATTATTATTATTATTTTTTTTTTTTATCGTTTCGCTAGATAAGACTCTTAGGCCATGTTTACACGGAAACGATCTGAGGAGAAAACGCAAAAGTGGCGTTTCGTTTTCACTTTTTATTCTGCGTTTAGACGAGCGTTATGGGGGGGAAATCTGAGTGCATATGGAGACGCAAAAGTGTTAGAAATGCGATGTAGTATGTACTCCAGGCGGCTAGGTGGCAATGTGAAGCACTGCCACACAACAACAACAACAAGTCCGTGCGCCTGCGTACAACCTTCCTTCTACTTCTCTCCCTAGTAGCGCGAAATTGAAAAGACTCTTGGACGTTTATCAGAGCTGCTAGGGCAACTTGAAGGTCCGACGTATGGAAATAATCCGACATGTTGGTTGTTATTTTCCTGTACTGGCGCATGCCTGTGACGTAAATGCGTACGCGACGAGAGCCGCCATGAGCAGATTTGCGTTTTTACCTTTTTACCCGTTTAGACGGAAACGCGACGGTGGAGCGTTTTTAAGATTTCCACTTTGGAGGGTGGTTTCACTTTTTTGCGTTTTTAAGCCCCAAAAACGCCGTCGCCGTGTAAACGAAAGGCACATCCGATAAAATATTATTACGTTTTCACCCGGAATCGTTTTCGTGTAAACAGGGCCTTATTCATCGGCTGGGATCATGTAGAGCCCTTTAAAGCTGCATTGAAACTTTAAATCCACCTTTCCGAACTTCCGCTACTAGCCTTAGCCCACTAGCATAGCAGGTGTGGTCTGCGAGGATAGCGATCTGCTTTTACTTTTGTTTATTTTACTCACATTTGATTTGCTTAGAGCCCGCATCAACGGGGCATAAGCATTTACTGTGAGATACCTGCCTTTAGTTTTGTTTATTTATCGCTCACAATTGCTTTGTTTAATGGCCGACTGTTTATTTATTTATTTTACTCACATTTGATTTGCTTAGAGCAAATTTAGAACATTTAGTTTCTCCACATAGAGGAATTACAATAAAACAGATTGAAAACCTTTGAATCTCCTCTCATTCTTTGTTCAGGCTGCCTCACTTGATGGGCCATTAGCCATTGGGAGAGTGTCTGTTACACCGCTGGTCTGAATCTCATTAATATTGATAGGCCATTACCACTCCCACGCATAAACCTCTGCTGACCAAAAAACTGTCATACAAAGTATAAATTAATGTTATTGTTTTATGTGAACGATCAGGCAGGATGATTTTCACATCATCTTGAAGCCAGAACTCAAAGCGACAACATCCATTAGTCAAAAGTCTTGTGGACACATATTTAGTATGTGTTTTGTGGTTTTACTTCAGCAACTTTCATTTTTATTTTTTTTCAATAACCACGCATAAACATTATTCTCTTAAAAATACAAACATGTACATACATGTTGCTCACATATTTTGGTAGCCCCGTTTGTGCTATATAGAGTGAATTTACACCTTTGCCATTAACATGTTTATAAATAACTGAAAAAAGCACAAATGTCAGTGCACGTCAAAACATCCCAAGGGCTCCAAAAACACCTTGGTCCCCAGAGGGTTGAGAAGAGGGTTGGTCCCCAGAGAAACCATTGGTCCCCGTTGAAGTCCACTAAATATGGAGAAAAATCCTGGAATGTTTTCCTCAAAAACCTCAAAAAACTGAAATTTTTATTCTGGAGTGAACTAATCCTTTAAGTGTGAAAACATTGCATTCAGTTCACACTTAAGTAATCTTTTTAAATATATTATTTCCGTAATAAGTACTCAAGGGTTATAGCACTGAACAATTTGGTAGACACAAGACGTTACAGTAAAACACATCTAAAACAATGGGCTGAACATCAAGTCCATATCAACAGACCACTGGAATCCTGTATAAATTGAATTTCTGAATACCTGGCATTCTGAATGTGGTGCTGTGAATCACATGAGCTTTAAATTCCAAGACTGATCACAGGACACAGTGCTGTGGGAGGGACGTGATGGGGATCTGTGGTCTGTGAAGTTGAGGTGGAGTGCGGTTATTCGAAGTCTCCCGTGACTCTCAATTGCAGTGCTGTCACTCCAGTTTGTGTCCAAACAGCATAATAAGGGGTCATTACGAGACCAGATTGGAAAATAATGGAAGAGTCATTAAAGCCTGGGGGAAACGATATCTCTCCACAGTGTGGGGGGACAGGTAGACTATTGCCCTGAGCAGATTACCGTAATGAGGTAGAGTGTCTCTGCCAAAAGCTACGTTCACACAGACAGTGTTTGGACTGATAACCATTTTTCATTAGCAGGTGTGACTCAAGTTGTGATATTAAAACAACACTTTGCAATAGCAGCTTGAATTCTGTATGATTAACAGTCAAGCTCATTTTCTAAAAAAAACAAAACAAAAAAAACAAACACGGGACAAGTAGCCGTGAAGTATAATTCAAATTTGTTCAAGTTTGAAATATGATGACATTATATACTTTTGTAAAGAAATTTGGGCAACACTTTACAATAAGGTTCATTAGATAACATTAGTTAATGCATTAACTAACATGAACTAACCATGAGCAATACATTTGTTACAGTATTTATTAATCTTTGTTAATGTTAGTTAATAAAAATACAGTTGTTCATTGTTTGTTCATAGATTAATAAACTTTAACTAAGATTAATACATGCTGTAGAAGTATTGTTCATTCTTAGTTCATGTTAACTAAGGTAGTTAACTAATGAACCTTATTGTAAAGTGTTACCGAAATTTGTTATAAATTACCATTATTTCATTTATATAAATGTGTATATAATATATATGGGTACATAAAATCCATAAAATATAATTTGATATGATCTGTCACTGTCATAGTTTAATGTAACTGAGAAACGTCTGTCTCTTATGTTCACCAAGGCTGGATTTATTTTGATCAAATACACAGCAAAGAAAACAGTAATACTGGACAATATTATTACAATTTAAAATAACTGTTTTCTGTTTGAATATATTTTAAAATGTAATATATTCCTGTGATGGCTAAACTGAATTTGCAGCACCATTAATCCTTTCTTCAGTCATATGGTCCTTCAGAAATCATTATAATATGCTGATTTTCAGCTCAATATGCTTTCTTATGATAACAATAAGAAATGATTTCTTATTATTATCATCAATGTTGAAAACAGCTGTGATATTTGTGAAAAACATGATACATTTCTTTCAGGATCCTTTGATGAATGGAACGTTTAAAGAACAGCATTCATTTAAATTATAGGCAACATTTTAGTTTAGGATCCAGGTAACACTTTATTTTAAGGTGCTTGTAATAAGCAGTAATTAACAGTTAATAAGACACTTATAAGACCTTATAAGATGCATATAAGATGCATATAAGCATTAACTAATTATAATAAATAAATTAAATTAAAAAATAAATTTCTCAAGTATCAATACATTGCACTTTTAGAACAGCCGAACAAACATAAATGGTAACACAAACTCCCAGTCCCTTAAAAATTTACCTTGCCAAGAGGGAGTAGTTTCCCTGATCTCTTCAGGGCCTGGACCTTTATGTTAACCCTTATATGAAGTAGTTAATGCTTATATGCATCTTATATGCATCTTATAAGGTCTTATAAGTGTCTTATTAACTGTTAATTACTGCTTATTACAAGCACCTTAAAATAAAGTGTTACCAGGATCCATTCTCACTAATAACTTGCTTATTATCATGCATATTACTAGGATATTGTCTGTTTATTAGTACTTATAAAGCACATATCAATGCCTTATTCTGCATGACCATATTCTACATCGTTTAATCCTACC